TGGGTCCAATTCTTCCCCTTGGGAAATCACTTACACTGCATAATGGGTTTGTAAAGCTGCAATTCCCATGTGATATCATTTCACACTCACTTTGCACTGGTGTAAGTAATTACGCATGTAACAGGGCAAGGGAGAATTAAGCCTAAATTAATAGACATAATGAGTGACTAAGGCGTGTGCTTAAGCTCATGTATTCAACCATATTAGGCAGGAGATTGCATGGCAGTTCCACAGGGACTGCCTGATTCTCAATTACACCATCTCAGGCACTTATGTGCCTCCCCTATTACCATACTGTTGGGGTGCCTCACAATCTTTAATGACTTGATCCTCAATGCACCCCTCAGAGACAGGGCAGTTACACATGGGAAACCGAAGCTCAGCGAGATTGAGTGACCTGCCCAAAGTCACACAGGAAGTCTGTTGCGAAGCCAGTCTCCCAAATCCCAGGCTGATGCCCAAACCATTGGGAAACGCTTCCTCTCTAAAGGCCCCTTGACACCACTCTGGCAGTATAAACAAGAATCCGGACTCTGATTTTTCAGAAGTGCTGAGTATCCAGAACTCCAGCTGACGTCAATGGGAGAATGCAGATGCTCAGCATCTCTGAAAGTCAGGCCTTGACTTAACGCACACCCAGGACAGAGGTGATGTTACCGCTCCAGGGACCTGGGAGTGTCTGGAAGTTATAAGAGGGCAGGGGAAGGTGTTTCATCTTAATACAGGTCTATCGCATCTTACGCGCATTTAACATGCGCGATTTCAACTTTACGTGGTCGGCAAAAACAAAAAAAAGAGAAAAACAACAGTTTTAATACTATACCTGTAGTGCGGGCGATTTCGCCCGCCATTGAACTCAATGGGGTTTTGGCTATACGCGGGTTTCGCTTTACGCGCTAACCGCGGAACAGAACCCCCGCGTAAGATGAGACAGACCTGTACTTAGAATGTCAGACCTGTACTTAGAATGCTGTGAAATACCTGCATCCCATGTTACTGTGACTGCTTTGCCATTCTAACAGTCAGAAGAAAGAAGCCTTCCCTGTATAGGAAGGGGGAGGAACTCAGAGCCCAGTGCCATGTCAGATGGCAGAGTGGTATTATGAAGGAAGCCTATGCTATGCATTACTCTGGAAGTGAGTTGCTAGGGAGTGGCTTCAGGGTAACTTCAGTAGTTTTCTGAGGACTAATCTTTGTACAACATGCCAGTGTGGCTCCTGGGAACATGCTTAGTGAGCCCCAGTGCTGCCAATTCTCATGATATTTGGTGTTTCCTTAAAGCTCTAGGTCCTGGAATCATGTGATTGTATGAAACACTCAGCTTTCATTAAAAAAAAAAAAAATGAAGTTTCTAGCCCTCATGGTTGAGATGAAAGGACAGCTCTCAAACACCGGAAGGCAGATAACATGAACCCCAAGTGTGCTAGTTTTAAAAATCACATGATTTAAGCCAATCTTATGATTTTTTGGCACCTGACTCATGATTGTTATATGCTGGAGGCTGGCAACACTATGTTAGCTCTTACTTTCTTGTGTCTTAAATGGGAAATGTGCCCCTCCCTGCCCCACTCTGGGAAGAGGGTTCCCTCCATACCCCGCAGCTCCCTCTGGCCCACATGTGGGGATGAAGGGGTCTCTCTCTGTACAGTAGGTGTTAGTTTCCCCAGCAAAGACTATTGTAGCTATGGGGGGGAGGGAAATGAAACTAGAAAAAGGTGAAAGGGGTACTCAGTATTATTTACTCGGGAGTGTATTGCACAAACTTTGGTATGCAGCCCAGAAATATTTGATTTATTGCATTAAAAAGGGAAATGAAATCTTGCTTAACTCTTCTAAAGACAGCTGGCAGAATCTGGAGAAGGGATTTCAAAGTCAGTGTTAGTAGCCTAATTTAACTTTTTCTGATTTACTCCAGGTTTTGGAAGCAAATACAGCAAAGCAAGCGGAACGATAAAGAGAGAAGAGTTGAGCCGTTTAATCAGAAATTGTGGTGATTGGAGTGTTCTGGCAAGTGATATTCTCACAACACATTGAACTGGCTTTAGGTCTCGGCAGAGCATGGTTAACCCTTTCAGTTCCATTTCAAATAAGTGATCAGTATGTGTATTTTATCCCTCTCTCACTGAAGCCAGTAAACCACCCCCCCCCACACACACACACACACCCCGCCCCAGCCGTTCTCTAGATATAGAAGCTTTTAAAGCAAAGACAAACCAAAGTAGGATTTGAGAGCTCAGTCCCAGGATATGCACTGGTAGTAGACAGGAGAAGGTGGGCCACCTGCAGTGCTCCTACGTAATCCTGGAAAAGCATCAGATTCTCTGTCCCTCTAAAAATAAGTCCTGTGTTTGCTTTATTTTAAAAACTAGAGCAATTCCTTCTTATAATGCTCTGTTATGCAGCTGGGGCCTGATCCAAAACCCATTGTCATCGATGGAAAGACTCGCAATGACTTCACTGGGCTTTGGATGAAGACTCTGTGTAGTAGTTTGGTCCAGCCAGTGATCCTCCCACACAGGTTATAGTAAAGGATCATCAGTAGAAAGCACACACACACACACACACACACACACACACACATACATACATTTTGGCTTTGAGATTTTGCTGGGAAGGGGGAAAAGCCCAACATTTTTTTTGCAGGAAAAGTGGATTTGTTTATCCCTTTAAGAATTTTCACAGCAAGCCCCTTTGAAAGGTTAAGTGAACATGTGCCTGTCAACAAATCTGAGCGGGTTTTACAACTGTGACCCATTCTCCCCACCACCAAACCTGTCAGTTTTGGTCCAGAGAAGCCCAAACCAGAAATGTCATCTGGTTTTATTGCCCCAGATTATGGTGTTTCATTGTTTCCTTAATATGCAACCGGAGTCACCCTCACAAAACCTTGGACCCAGACTCCTGAACTCTCCTACCTTGATCCAAACAAACCCAGGGGGAAAAATAAAAGCCCAACAACCTGTTATGTCAAAAAAACAAAACCTCCTTCTGCAAACCTTGGGCTCCACAGCCTGTCCTGCTGTTAGTAAGAAAACTATATACTTTGTATAGGGAAGTTCCAACCTAAGGGTTTAAAACAGAGGCTCTCCCAAAGTGTCTATTTAAAACCACCCACACAAGTCTTATTTTTACCCTTGATTACTCGATGTTGCCTGAGCAAGACCTAGTGTATCAGAAACCCTGTTGACGTACCACTGGTTGAAAGCAAGGCAGCCACATCTGCTGGTACAGTTATGTTAAATCTAAGTTTCCTCGTGTGCCCCAATTCCCTACCGCTGAACAGAGTGTTAAAACCTTTCCAAGTTGCTCTCTTAAAACAATTACTGTAGGGAAAAGCAATTGGGAAGGAAGGAAGGAAGAAGAAGAAGAAGAAAAAAAAAAAAGACTCCACACAAAGTAGAAGGCTTCATGCCAACCATTAACTCTCATTCCATTTTGGCTTCATTTTCTTGTTTTTCCTCTCCGAATTTTCATTCCTCTGAGACCGAACATGCTGCAGTGTTTTTCAGAATAGTGCTTAATAATCTCTTTAGGCTCTGAAGCTAAAGAACTGTCCGTCCCTTCCACACAATGCACAATCTTAATATTCCCCACTGCCAAACAACTTAAGAAAAGCATACAATACTCCGTTAGAAGAAGTCTATTTAAAGTTCTGTCCAATAGCCCATAGGTGACCTTGCATGACCTCGTATAATAGAAATGAGATCCAAACACTCCAATCTGCACTCAGATTAGGGATGTTGTGCCTTGAACCCTCTAATATAAACACACACACACTTAAGGTGATCTTAGTATTTGCCTATGAAATAAACATTCCTATTTAGTTCCATATATCATTCTCCATGCACAGCCTCCCATGATCACCTGCTATGCAGTTTCCGACACTGGCTGTGGTGTTGGTATACAAGGGCAATGCTTCTCATTTACTTTTAAGCTTTAAATGAACATATGCACAAGCAGCAGAAAATCCATTAAAAAAAAAAGTGTGCTATGCTCCAACTCCAGTCTGGGAATCCCGGCATGATGCCAGTATCTCCATTCATACAAGGACTCAAGAGTCCAGAGCTAGCATATGAGTTTCCTGCGTTCCCCCAATGACAGGTCTCAACTCCCCTCCCCTTAGTGAAGAGCAATGTCCCAGCAGGTACAGTGCGCAGACATACACCAATTTTTTAAGCGTGAGCCACCCCCTTGCAGGAGCACAGCTCTCATCTCAGTCCTCTACAGCCAGTCCCTACCGTGCAATGCGGTTACAGCCTAGCCAGCAATTGGTGTCACCGTTCCCTTTTTTAACCTGTTAGGCTCTCACTGGGAGAAGTCCAGTCCTCTAGTTTAAAGTGAGGCGACTCAGTCTGGGCCGTCATTTGAGGTCCCTCTAGCGACCCTAAAGGGGAACTGCAGTCAGGGGGGAACTTCTGCTTTTCTGTTTCCAAAACCCAAGCTCCACACGCAACCGAGGAAGAAGGGGGGGTGGGTGCGGGGGGGAGCAGTTCATAAATACTCTCGCTCTCCTACACCGGTCACTTTTGCAAATATCCCATTGCACCCTCTTGCAAAGACTTCACCATCACTCACTTACACAGAAGATGCCGGGATGCAGCAACAAGAAATACAAACATTTCACCCAAACGCTGCTCCTGGTTGTAATCACGTTGTTTGCATGACTCCAAAGCTACACAACCAAAACCCTCCTGCCTTGCTTAAAAAAGAAAAAGCCAAGCCCGGCCCCTGGCTCCTGCAGGAGAGGGATCTCTCGCAGTAAGCTGGGCACCTTTTTTAGCTCATTTCCAACCCGTGTCCTTCTGTGAACTGGGGACACGCGCGCGCTAAGCAAAAGGAAGAGTCAGAGTGGAGTCTCTGGATCTGCTGGGCTGACCATCAAAAAGTCTGATGCTGCTGATCTTAGCTCAGCGAGCCCCCTGGCTGCCCCCTCTGCCCTGGCCCTGCCTGCTATAGTACTAGAGACAAGTCCAACATGGGTTGTTTAATGTTGTCCTTACCTTTAAACTTCCACTGCTACTTTCAACTTCTTGTGTGCAGACCTGGAGTAAGGCTGGGTGACTGTAGCATTCATCCATGTATCTCTCTGCTCCTGACATGCTTCTGTCCTGCTTGGTTTGTTTGTTTGCTGTTTAGTGTAATTTTGGGGGAGGTTTTTGGTGTGTCAAGTCCTTGTTTTACGAGGATGTTGCTGTTTTTTCTTTGCTGTCTCTTGGCTTGTTCTTGCTTTTCCAAGAGTCTGAGCTGGTGGGGCTTGGTTCTCCCAGCTGCAGCTATATTCTCAATTAGCTGCTCCACAACTGAGGAGACAGGCTGAGAGCACTCACTGCCCCTTCTTTTATACACCATCCAATGGGCATGCTCCAACTTCTACTGTAACAACGATCAAGGCAACTCAGCCAATAACCTTGCAGAAGTTATCTAACCCCTCTTTCCCCCTCCCTCTCTCTCTCTCTCTCGTGTAACCCTCGGAGTCTCACACTAGGAAAAAGTTTCAATAACATGGTTTCATAGAATGTTCCTCTCAGGGGGCTGAATGCAGCTACTGCTCCATGCAGAAAAAAATATCTGTCCTTTGGGTGAGGGCAGAAGGAGGATGTCTGCTTTCATTGCATGCTGCTTTTCAGATGCAGGTAAAATGAGCAATAAGCATGTGGACAGATGAATGCATTTTTTTATTTTTCAGAAAAGAGCAGATCATTCTGGGGCTGCCAAATGCCCTACTACGGCTACCAAATTCCAGACTAACGCTACCAAATGTTTAGGAATGGTTGCCTTTGAGCTCATTAGTGTTTCATTTAATTTCACCAATATTCCTATGGGGGAAAAAACCCAATATCAGCTGAGTCGTGATTCATTAGCCAATGGGTATCAAGTAGTGAGTCCACATTGTTCTTTTCCATGGGGCAAACTACCCATTTTGCACACTGAAATCTCTTCATCCAAGTCAGAGAGTACTTTTCTTTAAAGGTGCCTGTTTCATCTTGAATCTGATCTTTCCTCCTTTTACACAACTTCCTCTGAGCTCCTTAATTTGGTCAAAATTCCTCGCTTGCCAAGAAATAAAATCTAGATGGCTACTCTAATATTTGATCTTTATTTTCAATGGCAGCATTTTCACCGTTGGTCCTGCAGGTTACCTTCAAAATAACTCCTGGGGTAAAGACAAGTTTCAGTGATTAGTGAAGGTGATTTTCAGTCAGTGAAGAAGTTGGTATGGGAGTCAGGATTTACAGTCACCTACCTACTGAAGTGACTGGACACATGAAGGATTTCAGAAGCAAGCAGGTAGGCATGGGAGGGGGTTGTTCACTGTGATTGGTAAGCTGTTAATCATTCATAACTTCATTAACATCCTTGCTATCCTAAAGTAAATATGGAGGCTTTGCCTATCTAGGGCAGACAGATACAGTATGTTCTGCACCTAGTGCTGTACGCTGGCTCTCATGCTGACTTTTAGTTGTCAACCAACCTAATTAAGGTCCCATTCTGCAAAGATTTATGCATATGAATAATCCCATTTAAGATAATGGGACTTCTCCCATATTTATAGTTAATTGTGCATGTAAAGCTGTGCAAGGTTGGGGTCTAAATGTATTATTATTGCTACTGTAGTGCCCAGAGACGCCCACTGAGATAGGGGCCCCACTGCGCTAGGTGCTGCAGATACATATAAGTAAGATAGCGGTGCCCTGCCCTGAAGAGCTTACAATCTATATGGACAAGACAAAGAGCAGGAGGGGAAAGAGAGGTGAACTGACTTGTCCAAGGTCATGCAGCAGGTCAGTGTCATAGATGGGAATAGAACCCAGGTCTCCTGACCTCCCAGGTCCCAGTCAGTGCCCAAATAGTTAATGAAATTCAGTAGCTAGGATGTACAAGGCATGGTTACAATGTGCCAATGCACACTTAAACAATAGAAAATAATGCTTTATTTTTATAATTGTTGGGTTTTTTTCTCTCTGAGGTTGGGAACTGACTGAAGGATTGCTCCAAACAAGTGGAATTTAGAAGATTTCTCCCAAACCCTCCAAAGACAAACTGAAGAGGGAGAAGAGCTGGTACTTTCTTTATAGGCTTTTGACCTCCCAAAGGACATATGTCACCCTCTCAAGAATCTGTTCATTCATCAGGTTGTTCTTTTGATCACATCATTCGACCCTAATTTTCTTTCCGTGTTTGGATTGTGTCATTGCATTTCAGACCCACCAAACAATCCAATGCCAGTGCAATGTCCTTAAACTAAAGCTGTCATCAGAACAGGGAGGAGGACATGGTGTTGATAAAACATACATACAGGAAAGATTTTCACCCTAAAGTTAGGCACCTAAATCCATATATAGGCACTTAAATAAGTGGTTTGGTTTTCCACACCTCAGTGGAAATTAGCTGCTAAGTGCTCGGCACTTTTGAAAACCTGGCCACTTCTTTAGGTGCCTAAATATGGATTTATGAGGCTAACTTTAGACACCCCAGTTTGGAAATCTTGGCCATATACCTTTACACCATTTACAATGTAAAACTTTCAGTAGATGGGAAAGAAAGTTGTATTAGTTTTCACAACGATCCTTCCCCATTTGTTTAAAAACAAAACCATACCCATGGTGGTCAAATGGGCTGTTAGCAGCCCAGAGAGAAGAACTGACTTCCCTTCCCCCAACTTGCCACCAGCACCTCCTTTGAGTAGACAAAAGAAACCTAGAGAGGGTGAGAGGGCTAATCTCTCTGAGAAAAACAAGTGATTTTCCAGTAAACAACTGCAACAGCAAACAAAGAGGGTGAACAATAATGATAATCAAAAACTATATTGTAAGGAAGAGATGACCCCATCATGTGAGGTGTCTCACCAGCTCAGTGAAAACAACCAGCATTTTGGGTGAGCCTTCATCAACAACATCACCACGGACAACAAAATAAACCCCACAAGTTGCCATTGGATCCACTTGTGTTTGTGCCTTTGATCTTTTAATTGCTTCTTAGTTATCCTTCAGTGCAAATAAATAGTGCATTGTGTCAAGAAAGAGAGAGAGAGAGAGAGAGAGAGGGGAGGATAAGAAAGAAAGAAAGACACAAAAGAAAGAGCTGTTGACCAAAAGAGAAAAAAAGCAGGTTATTTTCCCGTCTTTAAAGGAGTGAGTGTGTCTGTATTTGGGGGGGGGGGGAAGGGGGAGAGAGAAGAGATTGGAAATCAAAGCAAAATAAAGAAAAACACATTAAGCCTCAGGCAAATATCATCCTTACGTCAGTAGGAAGAAATGGGGGAGAGGGCAAAACCCAGGATTAACCTCGTTTGAGTTTATTCCCTGAGAGGTGAATTGATCCAAAGAAGGTATGATGTAGCAGCAGAGGGAAGAAAAATAGCTCTGAGGCTGTACTGACAGCTAACCATATCACTTCTTTCTTTCTTTCTTTCTAGCATTTCCATGGAAATACTCACTGGAATGTCATGGGGAGGAAAGTCCAAACTCCTTTAAGCACAAATGTGAAACTCTGACAGGCACAATCAGCCCTTCCAAATAACAAGGGACAAAGTTGGCCTTTATAGCATTGTGCAAATATATAGAATTATGATGTTCTGTGTATGGCTATGGAATAATCTAGCTTGCCAGTGATGCCTGGGAAATATGGTGCAGGAGGGCAGATGAGAAACTTTATAGATTGGAATCCTGTTGGGGCAGGGACTGTGTCTCACTATGCGTCTGTGCAGCACCTAACAGGATAGGGCTCTGATCTCAGCTAGGGCCCGTAGGTTTTACCCAGTAACAAATAGCAATATTTTTCTGTCACCCACTGGATGGCTTTGTGGAACAGCAGCAACACAAAGGCAATTTTTCCTGCTACAACACCTGCCTTCTGTCAGTAGCAAATCCCTACAATCTAAAGCCTGGTTGAAACACAACATTGCACAGTTTGACTAAAGGTATGGTTTTAAACCATTGTAGATAAACTGATGCAAACCCCTGTGTGGACACGCTGAAATCAGTTTTAATCTGGTTTATATTGGTTTCATTTGCTGCAATAAATTTACAGGCACATGCTAAACCAATATATTCAGTTTTAAAGACGTTTAAGTGAGTCCATATAGGGGTTCAAATAAATGTTGGTTAAATTGGTGCAACTTATGTGTGTAGACCTGGGCCAAGATCCCCTCTGCTCCTGATGTATTCTACAGCTGTCTTTAGGCTGACTCTACTTCTATCTATGGGTCTCTCTCTTCATAGAAAATCCAGAAGAACTTCACATATAATAGGTATACCTGGTCCTGCCTTAGGCAGGGAATATCACAAATTGGGTAATATTTTAAATGTATCTGATACATCTTGTTACAATTAATGTACACATAATACAATTTATGAACTATATACTAGATCTTGATTTGCCATAGAGATTCTAAGCAGGGTGGAATGGTGGAGATATGTCTGTTGAGTAATTAATTGCTTTAAAACAGCACAGTATGTTGGCTAAGACAAAATACCTCTGAGGAATTCTGGAATCCCAGCTATGTATCTTTCAGGCATGTCTTTGACTGTTTTTTTCCTTGCTGCTGCGCTTCTGTCAGTGGGTCCTTGTGTCTAGTCCTCATTGTCTTCAGGGTGATCATTGGATGTGATTCTTAAATGTTCTCCAGAAGCCACTTCCCACCTTATCAGAGACCCTCACCTTTGCTGTCGTTCATTACTTAGCCCTGTCACTCCCGCTCTGAAGTTCCAGGAGCATTTAAAATGAGCTGGACTCTTAGATCCAACAAACGGTGTTGGGAATTCGGATCTGAGTTTTGCAGCGTCAGCGCAGCAAAAACCTGAGGAGAGACAAAACAGGGCATTGTATTGTCTCTTTCTACCTCCTCTTCTGACTCACTTTTTGAACTGCTAGTCCTTTGGCTTTCCACAACAGAGTAGTTCTTTGGTCAGGCTCTTTTCAGAGAAAGACAATGGTCCTGGGTGAAGGTACTGGGCTAGAACTCAAAAGAGCTGGGGTCAGCTTCTTGCTCTGCTACAGTCTTCCTGTGCAACCTGGGTCAAGTTATCTAATCAGTCTGTGCCTCAGTACCCTATCTGATAATGCTCCCTTTCTCCATCTTTGGTCGCAGTATTATTGTAGTCAGGCTGGTCCCAGGATAGGAGAGACACAAGGTAGGTGAAGTAATACCTTTTACTGGACCAACTACTGTTCGTGGAAAGCTTGTACCTTCCACCAATAAAAGATATTACCTCTCCTACCTTCTCTCTCTCCATCTTGTCCATTTAAATAGTAAGCTCTTCAGGTCAAAGACTGCCCCTTGTGGTATGTATGTACAGCACCTAGCTGCATTGAGGTCTCTAGATGC